GCCGGGGGGGGGGGGGGTTTAGGTGTATCAATTGCTTCCTCCCGCTGTATTATTAATTTTAAAAAACAATTGAAGAATATACTATATGCAAAAACTAGTAGGCATATAACAAAACCAGGAAAATTGGACTAAGCTTGTAAAAACTAGGCAAGATACACAAAGCTTGTAAAAACTAGGCAAGATGCACAAAGCTTACAAAAACTAGGCAAGATGCACAAAGCTTGTAAAAAGTATAAGGCTTTATACCAGTCTGTAATTGATCATTAGTATAAAATACAGTACTAGGTTGTCATAAAACAAGAAAAGCACTACTTCAAAAAGATCAGCGAGATCTACATTGACAGAATTCTTACAATAGAGACTGGGATCGGCTTATAGGAGTATCAGATACATTACGTAGCCGGATGGGCGGCCCCGGGGGGTTCGTCACATTATCGGCCTATCAGCCTTAGCACGCTGTTTTCCCTAGAGTCCGGGATCCCCGTAGAGCCCTCCTAATAAGTCTCAGCGTTTAGAGACAATATATTATATCCCTCTCCTCTAATACTACCTTTGAAGAGGGCGACCCCGGTGATATGAGGGAGCCAAAGAGTAGTGAGAAAGGGAAAGGGCCCCTTACTGACATTCGTTCTGGTGCTGTTTCCCATGTGCTTATCGTTTATACATATTAATATTCCAGGGCGACAGATAAGAAACTCACCCTGCCAGTTCCGTAAAACGGTCGTTCAGTGTGCTGCCAACCACTTTCTAGCTGTCGGCAGGCCTGACAGCACTCCCACATAGCAGCATACATTTAGACTGAGCTATATCGAGCGAATGAATTCATCGTCACCATCGCCACCACCATCATCATCATAATGGGTAGAAATTTTGCATTGGGACTGGATTTTGCGCTGGGATAGGGAGCACCAACACCCGGAAGGGCGTGGGGCGACTGCAAAAGTAGTTGATATTAGAATGTAAAGGGCACAGTTGATATCAGAATATAAAGGGCACAGTTGATTATTATTATTCTTAATTTTGTCTGCCAACATAATTGCCAGGTCGGGGCCTTACAGTAATTTAGACCTGTTTTGCGATTCCATTGGTTGCACGAACTGCGTATACCCTGGGTTGCGACATCGTTCAATGATGGTTACGTACTCCGGCTTGCACCAGGTGACCAGGCACTCTAACTGCAGACAGGGCTTTGGAAGTTATTCTCTTGGCTGTCAGGCGTAGCGGCTGAATTTAAAACGAGCTAAATTGGGGCAAGTGATTGATTGATTGAATTGATAGCACATAACATCAATCATTTGCGCGGTTGATAACCCATTGGCCACTTAAAAGGGCCTTGAAATCCATCAATACTCCGCTTTTGCACTCTCACTGTCATAGTACTGCGAACCTCATTCTTCGCTGTCCCGAAGTACCGACCTGAAGTAAAGCTATTTAAATGTACGGAACAACAGAGGACTTCAAAAAGGATAGGGTGCGCACCTCCAATTTAGGTTTGCCTTCACAACATTCTGTACACCACGGATGTAATCCTGGACTTGAGAGTCCACTTCACTGCCCCAACTAGGCAGCTGAGCCAATGCCAGATACCAGTCCTGGTAGCGTGACTTAAGCATGTGATCGACATAGTTGAATGCAGCTTGTGCTGGCATTCCGGAGTTGCGGCAAACTGCGACGATATTATGGTCCACGCCCTCCTTCTGGATTTCAGTTTCGTCAACGCGAGAGCCTTAAATGGTTGATAGGAACTGCGTACCTCTTCTTTGCAGTAGGATAGCACGTCATTTTGTCTGAATTATGGTGAGAATATATTTCTTTGTAGATAAAAGAGGATCAACCCACAGAACCACAAAATCAACGCCAATGCGGTTGATCTCTCGGATACTCGGACACTCGAACACTTCGTCCGGGAGATCCAGTTTGTGCGCGTACCTAGGAATAATGGTTATTTTTGATAATAATCAATGACAACGAGTTTTAATACTCTAATAAGGGAAATAGCGGAGAAACGCCAGCGGAATCTCTCCTATAGTTCAAAATCTCTTCGAGCGACGGGCGCTTGCCAAAATAAGCAACCTCAACTTGACTTAGTGTCCCATGACTATAGTCACTCATGGCTTTTGCAAAGCGGCGTTGAACACCTGAAAGACGCCTGTCAGTTGATATGGTCTGAGATCTCAGGCAGTCCCTTTAGAGGCGCCCTGTTTCGAAACATAATATTAGCCTGCCAGGACCCATCATTACAATATTTAGTCAATAGTCATACTGCCACTATTCGATCCCAGACGCTGTTGTGGACTTCGACAAGGGGAATTCGAACTGGGACATGCTTTTCGTCGTCGCCATACTCCATGTTATAAAGCAGGCTGTCGATCATCTTCTTGGCTTGTATCGGGTCAGCTTTCAGACTACCATTGTCGAATGCTGGAAAAGGATTAGCCCTCACGATCGTTTAGTAGAATTGAAATGTGCTGACCGTCATCAAATGGAAAGACCTATATTGTTTGTTAGCCTTCTTGTTCTCCTCATAAAAATCAACAAATATTATACCCAATTGCCCCAATCACACAGGGTCCGAAGCCTATCTGAGTCGGCTTGAGGTGCCACAATTGAAACAAACAAGGAAAAGTTAGTGAGCCTTAACGATCTCTTTGCTTTCTCGTCAAAGAAGCATTCTCTGTTATTTATTAGTGTTTCCGTGTCGAAGACTGTTCTGCATAACGTTTAATAACTAACCTTGCAATCCAAGTCTCGGATTCTTCTCTAATGCAAGAGTAATTTGGATTGATTCTAGGCTCCTCAGAAAGAAAGAGAATGAAAAGGCCTGGGAGGCGGACTTGGATGCTATCACCCACCCCCTCTGTCATCTTGAGCAGATTTGGTAGAACGATACGAGCAGGAAAGCACGTGGGTTGTGATAAAGTTAGCGTAATGGGCCTTGGGAGAAGTCAGAGCTCTTTATAACGACGCATATCAGGGAGAAATATTATCTGATTGGCCTCCCAATCGACGTTACGAGCCCTCCCCGCCGCCAATTGTCTGATAAATGTCGGTGAAGCGGGTATTCACGTGGACACCCGATGATCCTCCAGTCCATACGTAGGTCTCCCTCTGGTCTTGCTTCTTCCTCCATATACCCTGAATTCTCCAACGTGAAATCGGCAGTCATGACGACAGCTGACGGTTATATCGTGTCCTTACATGGTTTGGTACCACCACTCATCCCTGTCCAAACTACATTTTACTCGAATTTAAAGGATGATTGGACCCCTTCCGCCGGTTCATCTATGTGTAACATTGGAACTGCTTCATGCCCGCCCTTTTTTGACTATGTGCCAGCGACAGCCTTTCCAGTGGGTGTGCTAGGATGGATCGACGCCATTTCCCCCATAAGGATCACTAAGTTACCCTCTCAAGTAAAAGCGACTGGGCCAACTTGTGCCTCGGGTGAAGGCTTTTCTGTCGACCAAAGCACGACAATCAGTATGCCTGGGGCATGTCGGACCCACACCCTTCCCCCCTCCCTGCCACCCTCTCCCAGTGGTTTAAGTGCTCATTTGGTATTTACTGTGGTGTTTTGGGTTGGTCCACTCTGGGGTGTAGCCCATTCAAAGGGAATTGATAGGGTTACCCTAGAGAGGTTTCCTTGATAAACTCAGTATCTACC